CTGGGAGTTGAAGTCCACTCATCTTAAAGTGGCCAAGTTTGGACAACACTGATCTAAGCCCAGCTCGTAGATAAGTGGTTGATGCTTAAACTTTTCTCTCAGCTCTGGGTCTCAGACTTCCAAAGCAGCTCCCAAGATACGTTCTTCTTGGCTATGCTTTTACAAATGCCGCAACGAAAAAAGAGCACCATTCAACTGAAGATGGTGGGACTCTCAAACTCTACCTCAAATGCTCTAGGTATGCAGGAAGAGATGTGCCCATATTAAACATATCCAATGTTCTCTTCCCTTAAGTGAGTAATGTCTTCCTGTGCAGCGCTATTATCCTGCGGCAGTCTGATTGTAGTATTACCTGTGGTTTTAGCCTACGTTTGTAGTGCCCTTAGTTAAAAGCACACGATAAATTACTCCTCTCCTCCTCCTCCACAATCATTAAGTGCCACTATAAAAGGAAGAGCCTCTCTAGCAGCAATAAATGTGTACAATTCACCTGTTCAGACAGACCCGGTTCTCTTTAAGAAAGTAAGTTCAAAGATGATAAGTCTGAAACCTTTGGAAATGACCTTCTGAGGCAGCTGAAAAAGCGATCTAGCTTACCTTTTGTTGCGGCTGTGTTGGCGGAGGCAGTGGAGGTTGCTCTGTAGTTCCCATGGGAAGTTCGAATCGAGGACTATTTTTCAAAAGAAAAAGAACATGTACGTATGGAAAGATAGGAAGACCAAGCTGATAAAAAAAAGCACGATTAGAATCTAATTCTCCCAGGAGTACTTCAAGCTGAGCTACAGAAGCCATACCCTCTTGAAAATGGGAATACTGCTTGACAGATACAGAAACTGTAATATTGGGCTAAATATTTTGAGGATGAATGTTTAAGAGACAGCGTGAAACCTGAGCTTGACACTTAGGAAAGGATTTAGGTGAATTCTCTGAAAACTGCACACCTACGTGGCTTAGTAGTATAAGGTGAGGGGAGACTTTTAGGACAGATCCTGGAACATACTCACTGCATGAATTTGCACGCGGGCCCTTCTGGACAGAAGCCTACCAGATAATTCACACAAATAACACGCCGTGTGTGTCTGTGTCTGCAGAGAGGACCTACAACATAAAACGCAACGAATGTAGACGTTACACAAGGAACGTGCAGGCCACACAAGTCTTTCCCCCTAACACTAACCTCACCAAAGGCAACTTGAGATTTCTAAGTTTTCAAGCAGCAAGAGCTTGAATTCTCTATAACTACAAGTATAACTACAAGTTTTTCTTCAGAAGTGAAGAAGGTAAGTTTTCAAGGAGCCAAACGTCAAGCGTGAGACTTTGCAAGCTGGCCTTACTACCATGTATCAAAGGCCAAGCTTCAAGTCTGTGTATCAAAGGCAGCCCAGCTATCAACAGTCACAAGCTGAATACCTACCATGTTTACAAAAACCTCGGTCATACCAAGGGCAATCTTTGATTTTAGATTCTGGGTCAATATGCAAGAATGGACACTCCTTGTTGCTGCATTCTCCTGCAACAGACAATCACCAGCTTCAGCGCACCAAGTCATGAAAAGCCAGTTTCAAGAACAGTTACGCAGCATTAAGAAAGTCAAGCACTTTCTTTATGACCAGCACCGACACCTTTCATCACCACTCACTTTGAGATGTAACATGCAATGTGCTAATCTTGTGCACGTACACATCGCTGAGCAGGGGTGTAAAGAAACTGGTAATTTAAACATTAAAAATCGTATCAAAAAGCAAAGCCAAGCACATTATCAGTAATCAGTGCAGGGCTGACTGTACAGCAATCATTTGCTCTACCATGATTCAAAACACCCTAATCAAAATGTCACCAAATGGTAGCATAATAGTCAGGTGACTGGCTTACAAATCAATGCACTTTGGGTTGAAATCTCATTTCCTCCAATAGCGTCTCAAATAACTTGAGATTATAAACTCATTACAGTAAGGTTTGCCACAACAGTGGATGAAATGCATTCCATGGTAACCTACGGAGCCCATCCCCCTGTAAAAGTCAAGTTTAAACAGCAGCAATTCGTTATTACATTTTCCCTTACCGTATTTTGAATAGAAGTAACATTCTGGCATCTTGGTCATGTCATACTCATGCAAGAATTCACACTGGTCCCCTTTCTTGCACAGTCCTCGTAACCAGTGTTTACAGACTACTGTCTTTTCACCACTGATGTGCCGGAAGGGACACATCCCTCCTGCCATGGAATATGAAAAGGAGATATGAAACACGGTAAGAAATCAATATGAAATACCTCTATGCTATAATGTTGCTTTAATTTGCAGATATGAAACATGTTAAGGCAACAAGGGAATAGCTGATCTACATGTTTTTAAAAAAAATATAAGGTATTCATACAGTAAATTCAACCTTTCCCCAGCAGAGCCTTCTAGACCAATATGACCAAGAGTTACCATGTTTTAAGACAAACTTACGCTATGAGATCTTGACATATGATTTTTATTCTTTTTTTTGAATATTTTATTGGGGTTTTAAAATTACAAGGTTAAAAGTTAGAAATGAAAAAGAAAATTGA